TTAGTATATTACTAATATAATATATTAATATATTATTATTATTAATTTATTATATATTATAATTTATAAAATTTAATTTTTCAAAATATCATAAATTTTTTATACATAATTATTTTAAATTATTTTATATTTTCGAACAATAACAATTCAAACAAGAACGAAGACATCACTGTTTGTGTTTGATTCATTTAACTAACCAAACGAAAAAAATTTATTTACGTTCGTCTCGTTTCCTTTCGAACGAGTCGAACACGAACTGTTCGTGAACAACGGGCTTTTTTGACAGCCCTAGCTATGTTGTTCGAATGAACTTATTTATTTATTGAGGCATTTACATACAAACCCACACGATTATTATGTTTTTGCATATCCAACACCTAAATTTAATTGTTTATTTTTATACCACCTAAATTATTCATAGTATATTAAAAATACCACTATTTTAATATTTTCATGCACAGGTAATGAGTCGCATGGTTAGAAATTGAAGTTTAGGTGTATATATATATACATATATATAGTGTATTATATATAATATTATTATATAAATATATTTAGTGAAAGAGTGAGAAAGGGAGTTAGAGAGTGTGACGGGCTCTCGAGTAGACGGAGAAATAGTTTTTTCCTCCTATGCTTTGAGATAAAGGAGATGAGTGAAAAGATGTGTTAAAAATATTGGAGAGAAAGATTGGAGATACTATTTTTCCCTCAACAGACGGAGAAATAGTTTTTTCCTCCTATGCTTAGAGATAAAGGAGATGAGTGAAAAGATGAGTTAAAAATAATGGAGAGAAAGATTGGAGATACTATTTTTCCCTCAATTAGATATTATAAGAGGGATGGGACGACAAAATATCCTTTGCTCATTGTTTTGATACAAATAAAGGGATAGACAAGGAGTAGCAATGAAGGGATAATGGGAGCATGTGATTTTTGAGTGTTGCATAAGGCTCGAACTAGGGTTCTTGTGTGGTATGTGGATTTCGATGCAGGGAGAAGGGGACTATGGGATTTAGATGTTGATGTCATGGGGATCAATAGGTGGAGACATGGCTAGGTAGAGAGTTGGGCTTGATGACGAAAGTGTTGGATGAGGTTCTTGGGTTGAAGGGTTTTGTGCGTGGATGGCAGATGCAAATTCTTAGCATCATGTGTCCCAAAGAGAACGAGAGTGAGGAGTGTGGGATAGGGTAATGCGTTGCGTTCAAAGTATTCGGCTTCGGCTGGTCGAAGTAGGTATGGTGGTAAAGGGGGGGTTGGTTTTATGGGAGGTGGCGGAGGGGAGTAGATGTGCGAGTTTGAGGTATGTGTGTTTCTATGGTGGTGGGAGAGATATGCGAGGGAGAGAGATGAGTAGTGTACGTAGAGTAAGAAGAAGGTTGGCATGCGGGAGTTGAGAGGCAGGATTAGGATCTCATGAGTTGCGCTTAAGAGTAGTGGGAAGCATGAGGGAGAGATTGTTTGTGAATTGAGAGATCAGTGAGGTTTGATAGCATTAAGTTATTTCATTTTTTCTTTTCTATTTTTAAAGAGAGGTTGTGGACGAAACGGGTTATAGTGTATGAAGCGGCCAAGAGGACGATTTGGGATTTGTATTTGAATATATATATATATATATATATATATTGAATTTATTTTAATCAAATTCATTTGAGCTTCAATGATTAATACTGCTTTTGATTTTACTTTACATATGCGTTTATAATTATTGAATAATAAACAAATCAAACTTACTTTTACTTGATCTAATTTGATTTCTCCCTTTTTATTTTCTCACATGCATTTTCTCGCAAAATCCATTGTTTTCATGTGCTTCAAAGTGTGTCATTGGCCCTCCATGCAGGTAAATTTTGTGTTTTGCGTTTGTACAGAAACCCAAGCAATATGGGTATCCATTTTAGATGTATTTTATAATTTAGTTATGCATGTATAGTTTGTTTTGCAGACAGACGATGATTGAATTATTTTGATGAGGATCAAAATAGTTCGTGTTCATTTTGTGTGGTGACATTCGCCGCCTTCATTATGATTTGTCGAATCTATTCAGAGGCCCATCTTCAGATAATTTTAATGCTTCAGACGTGTCAGTTATGCTTGTTTTATGAAAGAGGTGATAGTTGATTTTTCTCGATGCGATATATTTTGACCTTGGTTTACGCAATGCTTTAATTGTCGTCCATCGTTCTCAGTAATCTTTGAAGCATTCAGTCATGTCACAAAGTGAGCTTGTCTGAATGTCAACATGTTTATTCGAAAGCATTGAGTAGTTTTTTGTAGAGTACTTTAGAAGCATAAATTGATAATTTTTGAACTTTTTCGGTCAACAGGGTGGCAACAATAGAGGGATAGACTTGGTGGCTAATCGTATGAATTTTTACTGAAAGTAGAAAAATGATGGGACTTCAATGGTTGTATTATTTATGTTGTTTGAAATAGAAGTTAGGAAAGAGTTGAGAATTTTCTTTGATGCAAAAGAATGTAAACAATGGAGGTTACTTCAATAGATTGTAGTGGTTGGGAAGTGTAAAATAGTCATACTGAGATCTTTAAGGGTGAACTTTAATGGCATGGAAGTGGGGAGGAGGGGTTGGATAATGTAGAATTATAGAGCTATGCTAGTAAAGAGAAGGTTGTAAAGATGACTTGTATGAACCAATTACTGTGATATCAACAACTGCACAAAGAGTACAAGGGATGAGCTTATTCTTGGAGCAACTAAGAGAAATTTCCCTTCTATAATTGATTTTTGAATGATTTAATAGGGATATTAATCATAGTTTACCATCTAAATAATTAAAGAACCTCTGGTGGTTCTTTTAATCATTTGATTACATAATTTGAAGACAAACATGAATGTTAAGCTGGATGATTGGAGAAATTAGACGGGAGTAGCATACATTAAAGATTAGGTGGTGGAAATAGTCTCAGATGGTTTGAGCTTATACAATGAAGTGTATATGTTGATCAAAAAGACATTTAGGTAAAATTCGTTAGAATAGGAAGAATAAGAGTAGACTAGAGGTAACATGGGAAGATGTACAAATATGTTGTGCTAGTACATTTGACACCTTAGGCAACACTCAACTAGTATTCATAAAGCCAACTTTAAATTGTTGGGTTAACTCTAATGAATAAAAATGATGATGATGTCTCAAAAAATATCGAAAATAAATGACGCCACTGTGCGATTATATTAGAAATAAATCTACTCATTAAACTAATCAATTGATACTGAAAACCCTGATTAGGAAGATTGCTGCCATCAATTATGGAGTTCTTCTGTTATTCGCTATAACTGTGGCTGCCAGGGTTTCTCGTTGGTCTAATGTACAACCACATGATTAAATCCAGAGTTGCTGACTGCAGAAATTTGTCGTAGTTTTAAACTGTATTGTTTACTTTTTTAATCTATGCTGAAGATTTCGTCACTTATCCATGAACTAATACTACAGAGTTTAGATCTACGCTTCTGTCCTTCAGATTCATTTGTGTTCTTCATGTTAGAGTGATAAATTTGGTGCCTGGCTGATTTTTTGGATTATAATGATCTTTTATGCTTGAGAAAATAATTAGGAATGTGGTATTTTGGACTAGTGTCATTTGTTTCTGGTGATTATATATTCATAGTTTTTTCCTTTGTGAGATTGGAACTTAAGAAATGGATACGATCAAAGCTCAGATACATGAATTTTGCCAACTCTTTTTTATTTACGTTAGTTACCAACTCTTTGTATCCTTGCCTTCGATGGAAAAGAGATCTTTGTTTAATATAATTTTTCATGTTATTCTGGTACTGTTTTGGTCTTGTATATTTGAGTTTGTTCTAATACTTTGTCTGAACAAATTCTCTTACAGGTATTGGGTCAAATGTTTTTGGACAATCCTCAAAACTATCTAACATCAAAGTCATACTTAATGGTGGTCGGACTACTACTTTTGTTAGAGCAGATGGTTACTTCTCATTGTATCCTAGTCACTTTATTTCTTAATTTATTCATTTCCCATTAAATTGACCATAATGTTTCATGAATCTGGCAATATTAGTAGAATTCCTCAGTCTTTTTCTAACACCTTATTTTTTTCTTGTTCTGATTCGGGGTTTTACTATCCTGTTATAATAAATCTTGAAAAACAACAATCATATCTTCTCCCCCCCACCTACTCATGTTTCATCACTACTAGATCCAGAGAATTCAATAAGAAATTCTTAAACAATCAGCTGTTTTGGAATCCATGTACCTGGCATGATGGATATAAAAAAAATGGAAAGTTTGGCGGCATTTCATCACAAAAAATTACATTTCAAATATTGGAATGTAGATAATTTGGAAATAATCCATTTGATGGATTTTATTTTATTTATTTTCTTAAATGAAAATTTTAGTAATAGCGATTTGTTGTTTCTTGAACTCCATGCTTAAGCTGCAATGTCCTGTAATAGCGATTGTTTCTTGAACTCCATGCTTAAGCTGCAATGTCCCTGCTGGTACTCATCTGATTGAGGTGGCTGCAATGGGTTATTTATTTTCTCCTGTAAGATCATCTTGCTATTAAATATTCAATTTGGTATGACAAAAAACATGAGCAAATTCTTTGTAATTTCTTCAGGTTCGTGTTGATATCAGTGCTAGGAATCCTGGTAAAATCCAGGCAGCGTTGACTGAAAATAGGAAAGTTCTACAGGAGTTGGTTTTGGAACCTCTAAGAGAGGAACAGTATTATGAGGTATGCCAGATTTTTTGCTTAGAAGTCAACTATTTATTATGTGCTGATTATTTATTTGGTTATTTTTCTTGTAGATGAGGGAGCCATTTTCCATAATGTCTATCGTGAAAAGCCCTATGGGTTTGATGCTTGGTTTCATGTTCCTTGTTGTATTCCTCATGCCAAAGTTGATGGAGAATATGGGTATATGCTGACCCTTTCATGCTTGCTAAATGTTTCAGTTTTGTGACGCATCTCTTCAATATCTTCATATCTGGTAGATTTGTGTGTTTATCTTGGAAAGATAGGCTGTTATCCACTATTTTCATAACGGATTTAACAATATAAATGTGCTAAATGTGAATGCATGTATAAAAAGACTAGGTGTAGAGTTCGACATAAAGTTTACAAATAAAGGCGGTTTCTTGTTTTTCATATAATATAGAGCGGTAATGTGTATTCTTTTTAAAGATTTCAGTGCCATGGATTGCTAACATTGAATGCTAGAGAATCCCACTAGTTGACTTCCCATGGATTGCCAAGCTTGGATGTTGGATCACTAGATTACCAACACTCCTCTCAACTCCTTTCAAATTGAGGCGTAGATATTCTTCAAGCCTAACTTAGAGATTATTTTGAAATGAAGAGCTTGGTATTCGCTGGGTCGGAATGTTGGCCAACTATTATTTTATTTGAACACACGGGATACACATCAATTTACATTTTAGTTTGTTTTTTTTTTAATGAAGCGTTAATCGATTTCTATGTGTTTGGTTATGTTGTGTTGAACTTGGATCTATGAGGCACAAAAACTCTAGATTAAGGAATTATGCAATGTCTGAGATGCCCCGAACACGGACACTCCTTTGAAATGCTTCGGACATATGTTGGACACAGCCCCGACTTGTTTGATTTAAATAATATTAAAAAAAGGGTCACACTTGTATGAAAATTGTGAATTATATATATATATAACACTGTCATTACCGGATCGCAATTCCCGGATGTGAATGTAGTGGGTTGTGTTAGATACTATACAACCAGCGTAAAATTTATCGAAAACTCATGACATGAATTTTTTTGATCCTTGTGTAGATGCTAGGGTGTACCCTAAAAGCAACACAGTCTATGACTTGAATGCAGTAAAAATTGTGCAAGAGCCGCTATAACGGCGCCTGAGTGTAGTGTCAAATAAACAGGAGTTCCCACATCATTGAATGACGTGGGTAAAAAAGTTATTTCATGAAATTAATATTAGGATAGGATCATAAAATATAGGTACTCTTACTGGTAAATTAATAGAATTAGATGATATTATGATTCATAGAAAGATAAATATCTTATATATTTAAGAAACTAAGGTTCTATTTGGGTCAACTTTCTGTCTGCCTTTCTTTTTAGACAACCACCACAGTTCTATTTGAGAAAATGTCTTTTTATTAATTTTGAGAAATTTCTATGGTAGATAGCTATTTTTTCAGTCTGAACTGTTGAAGTGTGGTGGTTGTCAGAAAGCTGTAGTTTGACTTTTTGAAAATAAAATAATTTGTAGTTGTCTCCGCAACTTTTTAAAAAATAGTTTCTTCTACAACAGCTTCACAACTGCCTTTTCAAATAGCTGCAGCTGCCCCAAACAAACTCTAAATGTGCTGGAGAAAAGGCTACGGAGATTGACAATTTAGGTTTTAAACTTTTTTGACATTCATGTAGGAGTTACATTAGAAATGGTGTAGGTATTGATATTCATGTAGGAGTTACATTAGAAATGGTGTAGGTATAATTATAGATAAGAGTTTGAATGATAATTTTGTAAAAAATATTAGAATTGAAAATAGAATTATAGCCCTTAAGATTGTTGTTGATATTAAGATTTTTAATAATATAAGTGCTTATACTCCTGAAGTAGGTTTAGATATAGGTTCTGAAGAAAAATTCTTGAATGACCCAGAAGAATAATACAAATTATACCTTTTGAAGAAAGTATTTTTATTGGAGGAGATTTAAAAGAATATGTCAGTAGCGATAGAAGATTTTAGAAATATTCGTGGTGGTTACGGTTTTAGAGTAATTAATGAAGACGATAGAGTCATTTTAGATTTTCCTTTAGCGCATGATTTGTTATTGCTAATATTTTATTCAAGAAAAGAGATGAGCATATTACTACTAATAAGAATGAATCTAATAAAATACAAATTGATTATTTTTCTTTTAGAAGGAGAGATTATTGAGAATGTAAAGATTGTAAGGTCATTCGAAGTGAGAATTTAAATACTCAACAAATACTCAACATCGATTATTAGGATTATTAGTTTTGAATTTTAAGATGTGGAGTTGTTAAATAAAAAATAATAGGAATCATTTTCATAAAATTAGATAGGGGCACCTAAAAGACACAAATAAAATTAATACAATTCAAGTTGGTTTAAGTGAAGGAATGTTTCGGGTCTATTGTGTGATAGAAAAGTACAGCTTAGACTGAGAGGAAAATTTTATAAGATGGTGGTGAGACTTGCAATGCTCTATGGCGCAGAATGCTGGCCTTTATGAGAGAAGCATAAAATTAAGTTAAGTGTTGCCAAGATGAGAATGCTTAGGCGGATGAGTGACTTTACACTTAGAGACAAAATGCGAAATGAATATATCCATGATAGGGTCGGTGTAGCTCCAGTGGCAGACACAATTAGAGAGAGTCATCTTAGTTGTTTTGGTCACATTAATGTCAACCATCTGATGATTCGGTTAGGAGAGTTGATTTTTTAGATTTGACTCTGTTAAGAAAGGCTGAGGCAGACTTAGAAAGACTTGGGCATATTTTATAAAAAATAATTTTAATTTGTTAGAATTAAATGAATATATGACACTCAATAAAACACAATGAGGACACATTGGAGAAAACGAATTCATGTAGCCAACCCCACTTATGTTTGCATGCTTATAATAATTATAATTAAAAAAATAAATATTTTTTATTTAAAGCTTAAAGCATTTTTTTTGGCATGTTTTCCCTTTTTTTTCCTTGCAAAGGAGTTTGAGCGGTTCATCAATTGCTTTGTTGAGCTGGCATTTCGCGTTGTTATGGTCTTCTGAGAGATATTCTTTTGGAGAGTTCTTGAGAAGAAAGGTGTTGATATGACTTATATTCAAGTCATTAAAGATATGTATACAAGAACTGTTACTTGTGCTCGAACAGAAGGAGGATTAACAAAATAATTTTCTTATTTTTGTTGATTTACATCAGCTATCGACTTTAAGCCCATATCTTTTTGCTTTAGTTATGGATGGTCTTACTGGACACTTACAGGAGGATGTACCTTGGTGTATGCTTTTTGTTGATGATATCCTTCTCGTGGATAAGACAAGAGAAAAAGCTCAAGAAAAACTTGAATTATGGAGGTCTACTTTGGAGTCTAAAGGCTTTCATTTGAGTAGAACTAAAACTGAATACATGAGATGTAATTTTAGTAGTAGTAGCTCTATTGACAGAAATGTAACTATGGGTGATCAAATTATTAAAAGGTGTGAATGCTTTAGTTATCTTGGGTATATTATTCAAAATGATGGTGATATTGATGGGGTTGTTATTAGTAGAATTCAAGTTGGTTGGTTGAAGTGGAGGAATGCTTCAAGCCTATTGTGTGATAAAAAAGTATCTCTTAGACTGAAAGGAAAATTTTATAAGATGGTGGTGAGACCGGCAATGTTGTATGGCGTTAAATGTTGGCCTTTAAAATAGAAGCGTAAAACTAAGTTAGGTGTTGCTGAGATGAGAATGATTAGGTGGATGAGTTGCTTTACACTTGGAGACAAAATGCGAAATGAATATATCTGCGATAGGTTCGTGTAGCTCCAGTGACGGACAAAATTAGAGAGTCGCCTTAGATGGTTTGGTCAAATTAAACGTCGACCATCTGATGATCCGATTAGAATAGTAGATGTTTTAGATTCGACTTATGTTAAAAAAGATAGAGGTAGACCTAGGATGACTTGGGCATATTGTATAAACAATGGTCTTAATTAATTAGGATTAAATGAAAATATGCACTAAATAGGAGGTAATGGAGAAAAATGATTCATGTAGTCGACCCGACTTAGGGTTTATTTGGGATAGCTGCAGCTTATCCAGCTTATTCAGATAAACAGCTTATCCTGATAAGCTGCTAATCAGCAACTGATCCAGATAAGTTGACTGACTGTTTGGTTTGTGCGTTTGGAAAATAACTAATTTGCAACTGTTTCTGGATAAATGACAATTCTGCCTCTGGTCTGAATAAATTATCTAGCTGTTTGGTTTCTGCATTTGGAAAACAATTGATTTGCAGCTAGTTCTAGATAAATGACCATTTCTTTTTTCCTATCATTTTTAATTAAGCATGAGAATCTAGATAACTGATAATATGATTCTAACAACTATACAAATGAACGCATCATCTTAAACCAAAAATTTCACCTAAAACACAAAAGTTTCCCTTTTTTCCTCAATACTTTTTTTTTCCTTAATTCTTTTTTTTCCAGGATTTCCAACTTCTATCAGAGCCATTAGAAACCACTTTTGTCACAATATTTGTAGGATACAAGAAAGCAAATTCCAAAAACACTTGATCAAGAAAGCAAATTCCAAAAACAAATAGAATTGCACGTCCAAAATTTTGCATCCATAAAACAATATCCTAGAAAGATACAACAATATATAATAATAATAATAAAAAATTAACTATACTCATAACAGCAAAAGGTTTCTCTTTTCACGCAGAAAGTGGAAATTTACATGTATGGCTAATTTGAAAAAGAAATCATAATGTTTTGGGCCTTCAAAGAAAATTAAGAAAACTAAATTTCAATTTGTACATACATGCCACCCAATCTATGGATGAAAAAGTGCATTTCATTTTATGTGATCTCAAAGATTTGGGCGGCATAAATATAAAACGTAAAGTTTAGGTGTCATATAATGTAAATATATAAGAATTGGGTGGTATGTATGTAAATGCCTCAGTATATAATAGAAATTTGGCATTATTGTTTATTTAAAAACATATACTAACCATTGAAAAATCAATCTTCAACTCGATAAAACTTGAAATAAGAGCTAGTTACAGACCTATTTTCTGCTTCACACCTGGAGCTTGGATGCATAATAACAACTAAAGAAAAGTTTGCTACAATTCCAAATTTTGAATCTCATTTCAACAGATAAAAAGATCAGTTTCAGCAGTGTGATATAACTTGCGAACAATAAGAATAATAACAAAAAGTTCAATTTGACTAACCTATGTTAAGAGAAGTTTTTAAGTTTTTAAATGATAAGTTTGCAGTGTGATATAACTTATGGCAATTGAATGTGAGGAGACAGCTTCGGTTCTCTTCCTTGATGAGCTCAAGAAATTGATGATTGGTGTTTGATCGATCCCTACGAAATGCCTTGTAAAATGTGTGAAGCTCCTCCAAACTCGCTTTCTTCAATATGGATGTGAGATCGGCATTCTCCGCATCGGTAGAAATTGCTTGTTGATTTATATTGTTTGACGGATTTGGAATTTGAGGACGAGATTTCAAGTACTCTGAGGAGACGCAGTTCTTATCCATGGATTCGATTGCTTGTGGACAAAGAAAATGAGGAGGATGAAGCTTTGGTTGAAGAAGATGATTGGGAAAGGGAATGTGTGAGTGAGATTTGAGCTCGTGAAGATAGAATTAGGGGACTTGGCTAGTTCTGTGAGCTTGCGAATTTGATTACTTGAAGATGTAAATGCCATCCATCCTCTCCGGCGAGAAATCGTCGCTACCGCCATCAGAATCTCTGTAACAGTACAGTCGAACGTCGAGATTAGGGAGAGAGGCGAGGGACGACGGAAAGGGCAGCGGAGGAATTAATCCGCTCGACGCGGATTCAAGACGAGGGTTGCGGTGTCGATCCCACAACCCCATCTATTAACAAAATGGGAACGTTGTTTTCCGATAAGTCCCGCAAACGCAAAAAACAAACAGTGTAGTGACGTTTTGAAAACGCCGCCCGCACTTATAAGCTGCCCCAAACGGCCCTTTTAGTGGGATAAAGGTTTTGTTGTTGTTGTTGTTTTAATTATTCTTAATATTCTATTTATTTAATTTAATGTATTTTTTAAAAATCTTTATTATAATAATGTGTCTGACGTGTGTTTGTGTATTTTCAATAATAAAAGTGTCCTGTGTTCCTGTGTTTGTATTATAATAATGTGTCTGACGTGTGTTTGTGTATCTATGCAGCATAGGCTGGAATGTGTTCAACGCTGTTGATGGATTTGTTGTTGCAATATAACTTCATTGTTTCTTCTTATTTTATTTCCTAGTTATTTGGAATGATTTTAATTAATAATAAATTTCAAATTCTGGCAGCCATTGCTCTAAATTTAGCTTTAGCTTACCGACTAATGTTTTCTTCTCCAACTGATTTTCTTCCATCAAGGTGCAATAACCGGTTGTGTAGTTTTTTAATCTACGAGGGGTTCTATCAAACTAACATCTGTGTATCCTTTAGGCCGAGTTTTTTTATTTTAAAAAAGATCATTTGTTTCAGGATTTCTGTGAGGTTGTAAGAGTTTATATGAAGCCTGTAAATGCTGTTATTTAGGATTATACATGAATTAACTTTGATAACTTATAATATAAACTTACATTTCAATGATAACTTATAATATAAACTTACATTTCGATGCGTTTCTTTATTCTGACTAATTTTCACATCCAGATCCGGAAGAAATGAGGCGTGCTCAGGAAGAAATGAGGAACCAAGGCGTCCCATCTCTCTCCAACTTACTGTCTGGAAGGAGCAGTGGTTCATAAACAGCCCAAGTAATTCATGTGTAATAAATCGGAATTTGCTTCTTTTTTTTAAAACTACTGTGGTAATGCTGTGCTAGTTGTAGCAGATATAGATACACGATCCCCTATTTCATAAGTTTTTCACGGCAGATTGTTTTTACCATCATTTGCAATTGAAAGTTTACATACCATGCTGTCTTTATAATGAAATTTGAATACTTGCTTTTTTTTTTTTGCGTTTTACTTTCATTTATTTGATGCTAGTGTTTGGAAATTATTGGAGTTTAAATTTTTTGATAGGTCTATATTTTGTTCTTAAGGTGTTAGACTAGTTGTTATTTGTATTTTTGTATGTCTCCATTTATGAAGTCCTTAATGTTTTATGGTGTGACTAAAACAAGCTTTATTTTCTCTTATCTTTTATTAATTAATATTGGATGTATGTCTTTATCTTATGCAAATGAAGTTGAGGGCGAGCCATACATTTGTGAATGCCCCATTGTTTCCACAATTCTCTTCTTCATCTCCATCCTTCGAGTCCAAAAGCAAAGTGACAAATTTATCCATGTAGGTCCATTCAAAGGAGGCCAACTTCACCTTCACCATTATGCTGATTTAAACCAAAAGGACGCAGAGAAAACATGTAATGTAAAGTCTTGTCATACCTTAATTATTATAGGAATAAAAGGTGCCAAAATCAATGGAGTTTAATTATGGAATGATTGATTAAAAATAAATGTGATCTGTTTTTTGCATTAAATTCTCGTATTCTTATCGCAGCATTATTTTTTAAGAAGAATTGGGGAATAAAAACATTTACATAAAAAATGTGATAACGGTGATACGATGAGATGTAACAGTCCAAAAGAAAAGAGTATGATGTAGGAGGGACAATTGATATGTGATCATGGGACATATTTATTTGATCGAGTGAAGCTGTCTGAGCCAAGTCAACAAGGCCTAAGCCGACTGAACCAAGGGATAGATGAAAGATGATGAAAAGACAATAAAATGAGCCACTCATTTAAAAACGAGACAAAAGATTGCCCGGTCCAATTGTCATAAGACAATCGATTTAAGAGAAGATCTAGTTCCTTAGTATCTCTAACCATACTAGGGACACCCAGAGGCTTCCCATAAGAAATCAAGCATCAACAACCATGTCAATTCAATTGTCCGACCCATATCGACCAAACAACCAACTAAGCCAATCTCAGATCCACTGAGTGGATCTTGCCGGCTCAGTTAATTAAGCTTAGTCGATCGAGCCAAAGGGCAGTCGAGAGATAGGCTCATATATGTAAAATACTAAGAATATCATGTATAACCCCACTTTAAAGTACGGACAAAAATGTATCATCATGATGATATACTCTCTCCCCTATAAGTTGGGAGATTATTTCATGAATAAGACATGACAAATTATTATTCGTTATTGTCGAGTTCTCCTACTCTCCCCCCCCCCCCCCCCCCCCTCTCTCTCTCTCTCTCGTCTGACTTACACTCTATTTCTTGGGTGTGATACATTGACAAATTAGGATTTAATAGATAGATTATTGTTACATTAGTATGTAGTATTGTGTTAAGCTTATTGTTTACTTTTTATTTATAGGTTTAAATTGAGACATTTTTTTTGCATAGAAAGTAAAGTATAATTTAGTAAATTTAAGTAAGTTTTAGAGCTCTAACTCATCAAGGTGGTGAGCACACTGCAATTGCTTGACTGTAGTTCATGTTAATAAATTTAAGGTTATAAATTTATGATTATAAATTTAACTTGATATACATTTTTATAGATTTAATTATAAAATTTTAGAAAACAAAAAAAAAATAACAGAAGTTGCATAGAAAGACTTAACAAAATTTTCTGCAACAAGTTTGGTTGATAGTTTTTCAAATTTTTGTGAGGGGTGAGAAGCTGACTATTTTGGGGATTTGAAATGTCAAATTGGGGAGGACAGTCACATTATCCAAGTTGATTTCAATTAAGGTATTGTTTTTTTTATTACAGATTTGGTTTTAATTTTGTCCTTTATATAAAGGCTTTGAGTGTTATTCATTTCATTGTTAAGCCTTGTGGTCTCCTTTGCAATTTTATTTATATTTGTTGAATTCAAATTTATCCTGTGAATCACAGCCAAGAGAGTGTTGGGAACCAAGAGGGGGAAATAGAGAGAGCAAAAGAAAGGAGGGAGAGAGTACTAGGGACTACGCCCTGAAAGCCAAAATGGGACATTCTCAGGCTCTATGATCTCTTTTGTTTTATCAAATGGTTAGGTTACATAGAGGAGATCAAAAGTCACAAAACATGAAAGGGTTCTATTTATGGATGATAGGAGGATACAAGGTAAAATTACAATGTTACACCTAAAAAGGGGTATTATAGGACATTTTGATATCTTGTTCATCGGTCACTATCTCTCTTTAGCTTATCGACTAGCGGAGTTGGCCTTCGAACTACTCTTGTTCTACTTTGTCAGTTTGGCATAGTTACCAGTCGGCTGGACTGCTTTGGTCAAATTTTGGTTGGATTAGGCGATCAAACGTTGGTTGGAGTGGTCGGGTGGCCATTGGGATAAGTTGGCCAGTTAACGCTTCCGGTCAATCAAGCATATTAGGTTGATTGGCCTTAGGTGATATCTTGGGGATTTTTTGGTTTGCTTTTTGTTGTATTTGTCTGGTTGAGGCCAGAAAGGGAGAGGAACTTTGATCGAACGCTTTCCTTGTGATGGTTGGATACTAGTCTTGTTTTGGTCTTCATTGATTCTTGACTTAGTCATTTTTATTCTTTGGTGCTTTTATAGTTTTCAACTCGGTAGGATTTCGTTCGGTTGGACACGTAAGGTCTCTTAATTCTCTGCTTCGTTGTCCATATATATCTGAACTCAAAAATAATCATGAGATTCTTGAGGACACTTTTTTGGGCATACATAATTTTTTTCGATTCTCTTGCTTCCTTAAAGCAACAAGCTGCGATAAGAACAGGAGAGTCCTAAAGAAAAAAAAATTACATTTATGTTAATTAAGATAACAATATTTGAACTCCCTTAATTTCATGCTAGCATTCCCTATATATAGGGTGTCAGTGGTGATGATTCCTTCATTCCTTCCTGTCTTTCTTTGGCTAGCTTTTGGCTTGGCAGACTTTCGTTCGGTCTCCAAGCAATGACATGATGAATGACTTAATTTCCAATTTCAACCGATATAATAAGGTTTCTTATAAGAAAACCTTTAAGGAATTGAGAGGAGTTGGACTTTATCAAAAAGGCAAGGGAAAATAGAAGTTGGTTGATTTTTGATGTAATATCGTCTTACTCAAGTCTTACTTCTTTCCCGTCCCATTTGCTTGGTCGGATCGTCGCCTCGGTTGAGCTGCATCTTTTGCTAGGTCTTAATACCTTTTTCTGAGAGGGGAGGCCTCAATCAAATGGTTGTAGTAGCTTTCATTGAGTCCAACGAACCTCCAGATGAAGTTCTGGGCTGTGGTGAATTGTCTATGTGTGATTTCGACCAAGGCCAATTTCAGGTGTTGATCAAAGTCTATGCTAGTGGTTTTCTGTGATGAGGCTTTTGTGGGGAATCAACTCCTCTGTAATGGTTCTCTGTGATGAGGCTTTTGTGGGGAATCAACTCCTCTCACTCTGGTGATGGTCTGGGCACAGTTAATTAGAGTTTAGTGTACTGTGAGGTGTGGAGAACTCTATCCTGGTTCGAGCCGAAATTTTAAGCTCAAAATGGGGCTCTCACGAGGTGAACCAAAGGGGGAAAATGATTGGCTTAAGCTTAGGAGTTCTTGGAGAGTCTTTGGTGAGATTTTGGCCGAGTTTCCCCAAGGATTTTGATAATGTCTCTTTTGTCCGTGAAGGGGGCTGTTTAAATAGAAGAGCTTGGGGTGGCCACCAGGGGCAATTGATGGGTGCAAAATAGTAACGGTGGAGGGATGAAGAGCCCTAGTGGCCAATCATACTTAGCCAGCTTAGGTGAGTTTAAATTTGGGTTTTAGCCAATGGGGAATCCCTTGGGTTGGTTGTTTCCGGTGGCTGAAGTGGTGGCTGGCTAGGGTTCAGTCATTTCTTAGCTCAGGGAGGTCTAGGGGTGGCTAATTATGATTAACCCCTAAGGGTAAACAATGATGAGGAAGATATTTCAAGTTTAGGCCAAACATGGGTGAAATCCCTTAAATCAAGGGATCATTGGTCCATAGCTCATTTAGGGTGGGCTAGGTTTAGGGTGGGCTAGGTGAGTCTAGGGCTAGGTGAGTCTAGTCTAGTCACTAGGGTGTACTTGATGGTTGTAGAAGTTTTGGCTTGATCAATTTGGCATGGCTTGGTCAATTTTGGTGCATGAGTTCAATTTGGGTCAAATTGGCTTGAGGTTTGGCTAGCCATGACATTGAACTCAATTGATTGAGCAACTTGGTGTAAATGATTGTCATAAAGAGTTTAGAAAAGATTTGGAGTGTTTTTGAATTGATTTAGAGGTTCAATTTGAAGGAATTAGAGGTTCAATTTGAAGGAATAGCTGACGGTGCTAGACAACCACTGAAACAAAAACAAAAAAAAAAACTTGGGTTTATGTTAGGCTAGAGCACGAGAATTTCTCTTCAGGACATAAAAATATGATAATCCAAAATGGTCTAGGGGGATGTTATGAAGAATTATCAGCATTAATTGGGTGTCAATTTTGGGATTTGGGCATTCAATTTGGTGATATTTGGAGACATTACTAGATTGGGGAAAAATTGGGGATTTTGGACTAAGCTGATTTTGAGTGAAATTGAGGCTTGAACAAGGCCTATTAAAGGTTCAATTTGATATGGGAAAATGTTTTCAAGAGTTTATGACGCTAAAATTGGGCAATTGGATAAATTTGGGGTTCAATTTAGTGAGATTTTGATTTTTGGGTCCAATTGGGGCTTTTTGATTTGGGTTGAAATTGGATTCCAATGTGGGTCAATTGGGCTTGGATTTGATTTAAATCAAGCTTGGACATGATGAATTTGAGCTTAGAATTAAAATTGAGGGAAATTGAGATCAAATTGGTGGACATTAGGGGTGAATTGGGGTAATCGGTCCATAGCTCATAAAGGCAATTTGGGGTTTTTAGCTAAAGTTTGTCAAATTGGCCAAATTGAGCTCAAT